GAAGGTCTCTTCCTGACTTCTTGTCAAGTATTGTCTGCTACAGAGTGGCGTTTGGAAGATATCAGCCTGGTAACTCTCCAAGCCTGATAAAGGTCTGTAGTTGTGAAATCTCATGAAAGACTGTTGGCCGGGACTTTGCTGGAGAGGAATCCTTTAAACTAAATAAAAGAGGTTTTATCGGTACGAGGAGTCTGCTTCATGATCTTGGGAAGCCCAGGTCAGAATGTAAATCAAGTTCTTCAGACTCAAGCTGGCCCATCCAACCACCCGTACTGGGGTCAAAAATTGCCAATTACCTGTATAAAGTGTCAGGTTGCAGGTTCTCTAGGACATGGCTTGTGACTCTGTTGACCGTTAAGGCCTGTTTCTCCCCATACTCTATGTGGTAGCCAATGATCTCTGCCCCATGGCAGCAAGGCTCCTCCCAGTGAAGAGCAAGGCACGTGGAGAGGGGAAGAGGGCCTTCCAGCTGATCTTCGTCAAGCAGGTTCAATACTGCCACCGCAGCTGGCACTGAAGCTGGGGTCGTCACTGTGCCGATTTCCCCAAATAGTCCAGGGCCAGCCAGATTCACAGCCTGAAAAAACAGAGAAAGGGAAGCGTGAACAACAAGTGTGAAGTCTCAAGCATCTGCATCTAGGCTCCTCTACACAATGTTCTCCAGATGTTTTGGTTTTTTTAACAGATTAACAGAGTTGGGAGGGACCTTATAGGTCATCTAGTCCAACCCCCTGCCCAAGCAGGAGACCATACACCAGGGGTGTCAAACTCAATGTCAGGCCTGCAGTCATATTCCTTTTAGGATCTTTGGCCTGCCACACTCTCTTTCTTTACTATGCTGTTTCATTAGTGGGGGAATTGGGAGGGGGAATAATAAGAAGTAGAATTGTAGAATATGTTGTTGTCAAAATAAAACATTCCTTTCTAGAAGACCAAAGTCATCCTTTGTCTCCGCACCTCTGCAACTGACCAGAACTAGATGGGTGGAAATGCCAGTGTGGCAGTGGAAGATTGGACCATGTGATGGACTTGTGGGTGTGAGGACAAGATCGTGAACTTTCAACTGGGTGGAAAACCCAGGAAGCTTTCAGATTCGGGTTTCCACAGATTGTACCAACATGTCTCTCTTATTAAATTGGAACTTTGATGAAAGCTACTGTATGCCTTAGACTCTGATTTCATTCTGGATGATATTTGGAACGCTGACACTCAATATCACTGAGGGCCAGATAACATGTTTGACTTCGGAGGGCCAGAGGTGATGGTTGCTCGAGTGGCCAGGGGTGGATGTGACCATTGTGGGTGCTTGACACAAAAATGCTCAAGATGCATTTTTTCCCCTTTGAATGCAAAAAACAAAAGGAGATTTGCTTTCTGGCACAAATAGTCTCAATTTCATAATGTAGAGATTAAGAGTCCCTACCTAAAGTCTCCAGCTGCTATGGAACTTGATTCTTTTGTAGA